CAGAATCTGAACCCACCAGAAATGTGTTTTGTAAAACAGTGAATACACTAATTGTTCATTTAGTACACAGTTAAGATGTACCACTGTTGGCAGGAGAACTAACAACAATAAAAGTTACTTTGGGAGAATTTGTTGCATTCCTCCTCTGTTGGCACATCAACAGTGGAAAGGGGGCGGGCGAGAGAACAGCATGCGACACAGCGTGCCCCATTTTGGGACAAAGTGACATAGAAAAAGTAATAAGCGCTGTCCCGCCTGTACAGAGCCTGTTGAGGAAGCACAGCTCGAGGGGAGTGTGTGAGCTTTGTTCCCCTCCGGGATGCAATAGGGTTTATCTCGAGGCCACCTCCTCTGCTGAGTGTTCTACTACAAGGCCAGGATTTAATTATGCATTAAATATGGCACTGCGTTTGGCTTTTCCTGTGGTTTACATCAATTAGGGGTGAATTCAGAGCAAAAGGGCCTTCTTATCTTTCGCTGTCATTACGTGGAACCGTGTCTGTTGCTGAACCTCAACAAAACATGATACAAATCACAACTCACAACGCAAGCTTTAAGTGTGGTGCTCGATGAAATCTGTGTGTCGGAAAATCAAAAAATCAGTGCCACATGGTGGACGCTTTTATGTGAAGCAGTTAGCTGAATAAGTGCAGAGCCAAAGCCATTATCAACTGACAGAACTGCAGATTTTGCACTCGTTGTAGAGTCAGTGAGCAGCTCAACCTCTGTTTTTGAACTAGGTGACCCCGAAGGTTTCCTAAAAGCCCTCCTCCATGTGTTCCACTCCCGAGACAACAATCGCTGGTTAATCTGCATCCACACTTACCTTATTGGCTGCTTCCACCTTGGCACACACGGCATCCATAGCTGCCCTCTCTTCTTGGCGCCGGGCTTTCTTCTCCTTTGCTCTGTTGGACTTTCTCTGGAATCAGAAATAAGAAAAAGGTATAAATTGTTTTGAAGTGCTAGGCAGACGTGTAGAAGACAAAAGCACCGACAGAGGAACGTTAAATAATATGGAAGAGAGGAGGATTGAAAGGAGACACATGGAATAATTGAAATTGTGGGGGGAAAAGGACAAACAAATAAAAAATAAAAAAAAGGAATGCAATTCTTTTTTTTGCATTTTTCTTCTGCATCTCCTATGATCAGATGTTATATTCGGTCTTTCCTTGTGTACAAACCTCATTAGCAGCAGTATTTTATAGCACTTATATTGATCCTCTCGTCTATAAAAACAGCATTATTCAGTCACATTGGTATCAGTAGCTTGTATGAACAGTGTTGTCAAAGCTGTGTGAAACAGTGGAGTGTAAATATTGCTGAGGTTGCATGTTCCAGTGTGTATGTGGATGATAGTATTGGAGAAATTCTCTGATACTGATACTTTAATTAAGCGTCTCTTCTTGGCTTGATGTCCAGTGCTAGAATCAGCAATGGTGCAGCCATAATTCACACACATTACTGCATCCATGCCTGGCAACTGAGAACACACGCTTTGAAAGCTGCTATAAACATGTGCACCACCATAAATACTGATTATTAGCCTTCTTCAGTTATTGACACATGCTTTTTATAGAGAAAAGGCACACTAACAACATAAGCTTTACTAGACATTAGGGATGCAACTGACAATCATTGTCAATAGTCTGCAATTCATTGATTTGTTGTTTGGTCTTTAAAAGTCAATAAATGGTGAGAAATGTTGATCAGTGTTTTCCAAAGCCAAGAATTATGCTTTCAAATCAAAGACAGATATTCATATTTTAAAAGCTGAAATCTGTAATAAACTTTTTCCCCCTTCAATAATTACATAGTATTATATGTTAAAAAGGGATTTGGGAAACATCACAGTGATAATCAACATTTCAGGGACATGTTTACAGTGCAATAAAGTCTAATTGATACATCATGGACAAACAATGGCAATTGACAAACCAGTAGGAATAAACTAAAAGCCTTCATTAGATGCAGACTTGAACAGAAAAGGTTACAATTACGGAAAGGAATGCACTGAATGGCCAACTCTAGCTCACAGCATAACTCTGTCTCTGTACCAAGCACAGACAGGCTGCAGACTGATGAAACACGTGGATTGGTTTATCTGGAGAGAAAGTGGAGGATAAACTCAGGAGACTAGCTCAAGTGAATACAACTAACTCAGCTGTATGGCATGAGTGCAGGCCTTGCTGGGTCTGAGGAGGACATCATTCACACCCAACATGTCTGAATTTATTATACCCAGGTGGGCTAAAGACTGCAAACTGTGGCTTGTGTGTAAAACACACACACACACACACACACACACACACACACACACACACACACACTCAAGCTATTAGCAGTAATAGCTAGCAAAGCCCTCGTCATTAACATGGCATTCCTAAGTGGCTAACACAGCTAGCACGCCAACAATGGCAACACATTAGGAGAAGTTAACAGAGCATGGCTGCCAGGACAATGCAGTAATAACTCTGAAATGCTACATTAAGCTATGTCTAGGCTTGGGCTAATGTTAAAATGCTATCTTGAGGCAGCTAGCATGCTAATAGAGCAATATAAGCAGCCCCGCTGCCAACCAACACCTTCGGCTACACACATCCACCATGGTCTCCCTCCTTTCTTTCTCTCCTCACCATCACGCATTTACGAGCACAAAACATCCACCTTTCATTGTAGCAACTCAAATGAAGCAAAACACCGACACACTCACCCCCATTTTGCAGCTGTGTGTGTGCGATCCCCTGGAGAAACACACCTCTATTGTCCCCGTGGTTCACTGCTGCTGAGTTATTAGTATCGCCAGGCAAAGAGAAGGGGCCAGATTAATATGACAATGATAGATAGTGTGCTAACGAGGCTAGCTGGCTATTAGCACCGAGCGGCGGCTGTGGGAGAGGCGGCGGCAAAGCGCAAATTTGATTAAAACGTCAATGAAAAATTAGCTGTTTTTGTTCTCTTTAAATCGGATTGGCGCCAAGAGTGCGAGGCAGAATTTATTACAGGTCCCTTCCTTGCCCTTTTCTTTCCTCTCCTCTCTGTCGCCTCCAACGGTGGTGCGTTCACGTGTTCACCACAAGCTCCTACTTCTGAGTCCTTCTGATATCTATCTACAGTATATGAACTGGATATTTATTGCTTGCAGTGGTGTGAATTAACTAAGTAAATATACTTAAGTATTTCAATGTGTGCTACTTTGTACTTCTACCCCACTACAATTCAAGGTTAAATAGAGTCATTTTACTCCGCCACATGTATTGAATATATATTGATTTGCAGATTTTGATTAATAATAATGTAAAAATATAAACAACACTTAAGAAGGACTTTAGTTAAACCTTGAATAACATTCACAAGCTACCCTGCTGCATCTTCGACAAACACATGAATGAATTATTTAACCTTGCCAAACACCATTTAGTATAAGGAAACATTCACAACATTATAGAACAGCTTTGACATTTTCAGATCAAATCCACAGTCGAAAACATTCTTACACTGCATATATGTGCACATTTTGTATATCTGCAAATATTGTGTATTGTTATATCAGATACTCTATACAGATATATGTATATCTATTGTTAATATGTATGTATTTACTGTTTCTTTATTTATATTTGTAATTCATGCTGCTTTAATAAGGTAAACAGATCCACGGTGCGACCACTGTGAAGTTCTCTATATGCAGCAGAACGAATCCCTGTGAGTTCATTATTATATTATTGTTGGATCATTGTTTACAATAAAACAAATTGTATAATGTCCAAGAAGCACTTCAGTGTATGTTGGTCCAATTAAAGATAGTTGAAACTGTTTTGGCTAATTTTTCCCATATAATGATTCCTATTTGATCAGTTAATTATAGATTTTGTATCAAAATGATTAAACTGTGAAGAAACGTGAACGTTTAAAGGAGCCGAAAATGTTGGTAGAAGTATAAAAAATGAGTTACCATTGACTGTAGTTGAGTAAATTTTCTGATTGATTAAATGCATTTATCTTAAAACAAATACAGCCTGAAAACTGAAGAAATATACTTTTTTAACCAAGTTAATAGATTCAGAATACTGAAATGCATCTACAATATCAGCCTATATGTGGGCATGTAACACGTACAACTCACCTTGCACCTTAGATACTTTGCTTTGGTATTATCAGCATGGCCATGTCTTTCACAAGATATACTGTATAATCATTATCTAACTAGCACACAATACTTATTTTTACTACACAGTACACACACAGGAAAAACTTGGCAGCGGTGGGATTTGAACCCACGCCTCCGAAGAGACTGGAGCCTTAATCCAGCGCCTTAGACCGCTCGGCCACACTACCATGCAGTGCAAGTTCTCTGTGCCTAATAAATCCCACCGAATTTGAACGCACCACTACTTTAGCGCGAACATGGTTTTTTAGAAAGTGACGACAGAGAGGGTCTTTTTAAACCAGCATAATAACATTTAGGCATAACAGTGTTTTACATTTTAACAAGATGTTTTAATTCTAACAATAGCCCATCATAATGACAAACATAAATGTAGGGAATTACATGTTATAACACAATTGGGCATACAAAAGTGATTTTAGGTACAGATTTTTAAACCGGTTACAGTACACCCTGGTATTTTTATAATCACAATTGTCTTTATCATATTTTTTCATAATAATTTATTTCAAGGGTTCTACCTTTTGTAAAAACGAATGTGCCCGCTTCTTATCACATTCACTGGGCAAATGTAAAAGCTGTGAGATATGATTTTTTTAGATGTACTACTTTTGTTTAGACTATGTGTTGCATAATGGTCATATTGTAGAGCCGATGAACGGGAGTCAGAGGCGGTGCATTCAGAATGGATTTCCACACTTTATTATTCATTAATCCAGAAGACGTGAGTACCTGTGCTGCTCTGTGTAACCAGCTAGCATGAATAACCCCAAACCCCCGGTACCCTCACTAACCGGTCCGGGTTGCAACACACACTATATGACACAGTGAATTATGTCCCGTAACTGTCACCACACAAGCCCCCCCAGAATTCACTCATACACAAAGTCTGTGCGGCGGGGAGGAACGACAAGCCGACCACCCCGACTCCGAAGAACGGGAGCCGGGGAGGCGACCTCTGAAGGGGCGGCCGCTGGAAGAGATGGGACCGGAACCGCAGGCCCCAATTCTGTGACAGGTCGACCACCAAGTGCTTGTCCCCGTGTTCCAAGACCCGGAAAGGCCCATCGTAAGGGGGCTGCAGGGGGCCTCTGTGCGAGCGGAGCATGTGTTCATCCGACACGCCTTGAGAGCTCGGCCTTGAGGGCCGCGATGGAAACGTTCACATATGCCGTTAGCCTGAGGGTGGTAAGCGGTAGTCCTGTGAAGCTTAACCCCCAAACCACTCGCCACGGCGTTCCAGAGCTCGGACGTGAACTGTAAACCCCGGTCCGAGGAAACGTCTGACGGGGTGCCAAACCGACACACCCACGTCGCAATGAAAGCCCGGGCTATGTCAGCCGCCTATGTTGACACGAGAGGGACCGCCTCCGGCCAACGGGTCGTCCTGTCCACCATGGTGAGGAGGTAGGAAAAGCCCTGAGAGGAGGGTAATGGACCAACCAGGTCGATGTTGACGTGGTCAAAGACGCCAGACGAACTTCGCGGCCACCAAGCGCACCGAAGGCTTACCGCCGGGGTGTGACAGGTCGTGCAATGCCTCAAACACGGAGTGCCTCCAACTGGCGGGAACGACTGGCCGCGGCAGGCCCGTGGAGACGTCACACAGGAGAGTAACGCCTGTGTCGCCGAACACCACCTCCTCCAAGCGCAGCTCCACGCTCTCCTCCTTCAGGGTCTGTGACCTGGTCTGCCGCCATGCGGGTATAGTCCAGGCCCAACTGGATGGCTCCGATGACGACCCTGGAGAGGCAATCTGCGACCAGGTTCGTTCTTAATGTCTGTGGTGTACTACGAGATGTAAGACAGCTGCCGCTGCTGACGTGCAAGCCAAGGCTCTGCCACTTTTGACATGGCGAACGTGAGCGGCTTGTTGTCGAAAAACGCCGTAAATTCACGGCCCTCCAGCAAAAAACGGAAATGCCGCACGGCCAGCCAGAGTCCAAGGAGTTCTCGGTCAAAAGCGCTGTACCTGCGTTCCCTGGGCGTCAGCTGACGGCTGAAAAAGGTGAGTGACTGCCAAGTGCCCTCCACCCACTGCTCGTGCACCGCATCAACGCCGTAGTCCGATGCGTCTTTGGTAATGGAGACTGGAGCCATGGACGATGGGTGCGCCAACAGGGCTGCCAGAGCCAACGAGGTCTTGACCTCCGTAAAATCAGACTCAGCTTCCGCCGTCCAGTCGATCGCCTGGATCGGGTTCATACCCTTCAAAGCCTCATACAGCGGCCGCATTATGTGGGCGGCCTGGGCAATTAAACGGTGGTAGAATGTCACCATCCGCAGGAACTCACGGAGCAACCGGGCTGTGAGCGGGCGAGGAAACGCCGCAACAGCTTCAACCTTTGCCGGCAGGGGTGCTGCACCGCCTTTGGTGACGCGGTGTCCGAGGAAGTCAATGTCAAACACCCTGAACTGGCACTTTGCAGGATTGATTATCAACCCGTGTTGACCGAGCCTTGTGAAAAGAGCTCGGAGGTGTGACAGGTGCTCTTCCACCGAAACGCTGGCGACGAGTATGTCGTCCAGGTAGACGAACACAAACGGCAGGTCCCGTAGCACCGAATCCATCAGGCGCTGGAACGTTTGAGCGGCGCTCTTGAGCCCAAAAGGCATCCGCAGGAACTCGAAAAGTCCAAATGGCGTTATCACTGCCGTCTTGGGAACGTCCAGGGGATGCATGGGCACCTGGTGGTATCCGCGCACAAGGTCCACATTTGAAAACACCAGCGTACCGGCCAGATGTGCTGAAAAGTCTTGAATGTGCGGCACCGTGTAGCGGTCAGGCGTCGTGGCGTCGTTGAGGTGGCGGTAATCCCCGCACGGGCGCCAACCGCCGTTTGGCTTGGGAACGACGTGCAGAGGAGAGGCCCAAGGACGGTCCGGCGGACGATACCCAGACGTTCCGTGGTTGAAATCTCCGCCCTGGCGGATTCAACCGCTGGGCCCTGGCGTAGACCGGGGAACCTTCGGTGGTGACGTGGTGCTCCACCCCATGCTTGGTGGTGAGCGCGGAGAAGGTGGGTAGCGTCAGGTCTGGAAATTCAGCCAACAGGCTGAGAAAAATGTCCGCCCCCGACAGCGAGCCCGACAGCCCGTCGTACCCCGCCTTGCCAAGTGTACACACGAGGGAGGAAAACGTCAAGGTATCAACCAAGCGTTTATTGTTAACGTCCACCAGGAGTCCGTGAGCACATAAAAAGTCTGCTCCAAGGAGGGGAAAAGAAATGTCTGCCGTCACAAAATCCCAGTTGAACCGCTGTCCTCCAATACACACACACATAGCCCTCACACCGTACGTGCGAATGGGGCCGCCATTAACCGTCGCCAACCGCGGTCCATGTCCCCCACGAGCGACGTCTTCCCTCGAAGCAGGAACAACACTCCGTTGAGCTCCCATGTCACACAGAAACAAACTTCCTGAGACTGTCGCTGACAAAGAGACGCCTGCTCGTGCTGCCAACGCTCAGGGCCACTACCGAGCGCTGGCTCCTCCGTTTCCCGGAAGGCTTGTAGCTGCAGGGAGCGACACACTTCTTCACGCTGGCCCTGAACCGCGCGTGGTAAAAACACTTTCCTGTGTCCCCACGCCGGCTTGTTACTGTCGCGTCCAGCCTCCCCCAAGCCTTCTT